CATAAATATTTTATAGCTTCAGAGTCGCTGCCTTGTGTAAGTGATTTTATTTTATACTGTGTACTTTTTAACAACCTTGTTTATACGCATGGCTCTGCCATTAAAGCATTGCACAGTTTTAAAAGTAGTAATAGTGATTAGAGTGTGTGTGATGCACCGATCTCACGCAGTTGTCGACTCATCTGGAACCTGGTCATAACTTTGATGTGTCAGTTGTTTCTTACTTATTAAAAAACACACAGAAGTTCAAAAGAAGATCTCTTTGCAGCAGTTTGCTAAATGATTGGGACAAATGTCTTTATTTAGTGTGATCAGGATTTTACTCCTTCAGCCTTTGTGGATCAATCAATTCCCTTTTGTTATGGAAGTTTGATCGTATCAGTCTACAATTATAATCAGCCGATAACGGCATTAAAAAGGAATATAGGAAAATATCAGTACAGGCTGTCAGTCTTTTAATCACCCAACTTTGCAAAACACATATTATACATCAAACTCTTTGGCTACTTCTCCTCTTTCTCAAAATGTTACAGAATGACAGATCCGAGGTAAAGTTTTTGAGATACTTTAGTTTGTTTGGCACAACTTAGAAATTTCCTCTGTGTGTTGACCAACAATTAAAACAAAAACAAGAATCTTCACCTAAGGCTTGCTTTTGTTATCAAAATATCTTCATAAATGTTTTATCTCCAATAGACAGAATAATTAAAAATAACTAATACACACATTTAAGCATCACACTTAAGGAAAGTGTGATCTAGCTGCTGTTGGAGACTAAAGAAACATGGCACTTTTCCTGTTACTTAAATTGTAGTATATGTCATTTTACACACAAAATGTAAAAAAATATAAGCATGCATGATACATTTGTGATGTTATTCATTTAAACTTGTTTAATCTTTTCTTTTTTTATGAGAGAGGGAAACAGCATATATTGCTATTGGAAATGATAAGAGTCTACATTATTGGTGTATCTTTATTCCAGATATCAATTAAAAAAAGCCAATATTGAGCATCTCTACTTTATTTGTCTGTTAGGAACTTCATTTGCAGAAGAAAGTGCCAGCACAAGCCCATAAAAGCAAACTCCAAATAGACACATACAATTGATTCAAAGGAGTAGTAAAAAATTTGGCTCTTAGATTCATTTTCAACCAAAGATTTGTGTGTGTGTGTGTGTGTGTGTGTGTGTGTGTGTGTGTGTGTGTGTGTGTGTGTGTGTGTGTGTGTGTGTGTGTGTGTGTGTGTTTTCTTAAAGATGTGGTTTATTCAGTTGCAGTGATCTCTAGTGTAAATCAATGCCTTATGAGTCATAGGGGTTGTATGAACTAGTCGACTAGTCGACTTCACGGCTCTGTAGTGACTTTTTATGCCTGTCATCGACTAGTCGCTGTCACGTGATAATGACTGACAAGATGCAGTCCTCGGAAAAGACAGCAGGTAATGAGCCCCTGCGCATTGGGAGGCGGAGGCGACGCGCTGTGCCAGAGTGTCGGTACTGACACCGGCGGTAAAACAGGCATTTAACCAAACTGTGACCTTTTCCCTCTTGAAATTTTACCTTCCCCTCACCCCCATCCTAATCTTAACCAGTTTGCGCATGCAGAGCTCTGATCGTTGACGCGCTGCTCCAGACATCTGCGTCCTGAGCACTGCCAAATCAGGTGTCGCCACCTCAAAAACAAATTAAACACATGATCGTTCATGTCAGCTCATTTCCTTTAATGTTTTCTGTCTGTTATTTGTGCCTGATGCATTTCGCTGCTGCGGAGCGAGGCGCACCACCTCTGGTGACGCACCTCCAAAATTCCACTATTCCGCTCCGGCACAAACTCCGCAGCAATAACGGTCCTGATGTAGTCGGCCGGCGAGCAGCGGCACCCCACTGTTTTTGTGGTCGGTAGATCTTTTAGAACTGCAATTCATAAGGTGAATATATATGAACCCAGGTAGCAGTTTTTCTTTAGGATTGAGAGGAGATGCAGGAAGATAATAAACAGACAGGACAGAAAAATAGTCAAATAAAAACAAGTTTGTTTTTGTACCTGGTTGCAACAAACAAACACCATTGAAGGTAATCAGAAGTGAGGAACAGAAAATGAAATAATCCGTTTAATGTTTAGAGCAGCAGGAAAGGCTGCAGGCGCATCAGTGAGTTTGCGGCTGCTGCGCAGGGGGGGGGGGGGGGGGGGGGGGGGGGGGCTGAAGTAGGATGCAGAAACTACCGTTGTTAAAAGAGATGTGTTAACTTAGAAAATGTGGGCGCAATTTTAATTGTCAAGAACTCCAGCGAACCTACCAACCCCCCCCCCCCCCCCCCCCCCCCCCCCCCACCCCCCCCGCAGCTTCAGGTGTATGGCATCATCAACGAGTAGTCGAACTCGACTCGATTTTCATTATTTGACTGTCGACTTCAAAAGAAATAAAGTCATGCAACCCCTAATGAGTCATGACTGGTGCAGAGGTGGGCTGAAAACAGCAGGATTGCTCATTATTATTAATGATGTGCACACACCTCGTTTCTGATTGGCTAACAGAACACATTCAGCCATGTTGCAAAATCACTATCACCAACACACTCTGCTTTTTGTCCTCGCTGCAAAAAAAATACTTTTAAGCCTTCCTTTGGGCAGTCAAAATGGGTGAGGCCTTGAATGCAAATTCACGGTGTGACATCACAGTGTGAGGATTTTCAAATCCTAGCATTTCACCATCTATTTTCTATCAGAAGCTAATGCAGCAAAGAGACGTATGAGGCTGTTTCATGTTCAGCCTACCTGAAAAACTCAGAGTGACCTATTATAATCAGAAATAATCTGTAAAAAATGTTTTTGTCAGTCAACCACACCTTTAAGGTCAAGTTGTCTGTTCCAGAAATTTTGAATTGGATTCTGAAGGTTAACCAGTTGTACATTCAGTGATTAAATTAGACAAAAAGAGCCGATTCCAGCATCATTTAGCAGCTGGAAGAAATCATGGGGATAACTTTTTGCTACTACCTCTCCAAATTCTGGCTCAAGATCTGGAAAATGTACAGAATTAAAATCATTTTTAATATTTGCTCATGTTGCATAGCTGTCTTCTCATCTTGAACTGGATGGATTCCAACAGTCAATCAGTGTTAGATGTTCTTCCAGTGAAAGAAGTTTCTGGAAGTTTCATCAAAAACCGTCCAATGTCATTATCCAGAGCACATTTATTTGAGCTTAAGAAGCACATTTTTTCCCCAACAAAATTACATGTTTATATCTTTTTATTTTTCACATCAAGAGCAAAGAAAATGAAACTCCTTCTGGGTGTGCGGTGGCTTCCCTAGATGCTCCAAGCTTTAAATATTGAGTGAGTTTGTGCTTTTCTCATAACACGCATGATAAAGTCACATGAAAGAAGTCCAAACTGTATGGCCTATTTCCTTTTGCTCTCTCTCACTCAGTGTGAAAGCATGTGTAATTTTCCAGTTAAGTGGGAGTTGGAACGCAGCAACTTTTCAGTATTCTTTGGATTTCAGTCAAACGGAGCCAGGAATGTTTGTAACTGTGCTGATGTGCTGAGGGGAAACATAATAGGGCTTATTTTCAGTCCTAAAGTGCCAAATTTAATTCAGTGAGTTCTTTAAATGTTCAAATAAAACATGGTCATCAAACATGTTAAATTGCAAATGAAGACAAACCAGAGTTTTTGCTCCAATGATTAAAAGTATATAAAGGTAAATAAGTCCAAAAGGACATTTTTTAGATTATATAAAAAACTTTTTTAAAGTCAATCTTCACAAATTCTTCAAGATCATAAAATGCAAATCTGTGGTACTTAAACCAATTTTAATTCAAGTGTCACATAATTTGTTTAACTGAATTCTGAGAAAGAGAGAAGTGTGTAAAACATGAACCCCATTCAGGACAGATTTTCTTCATTGTCAAATACATTTGTAGACATTGATCACACAGATTGGTGATAAATTATAGAAATGTTTTCGTTGCTGTCAATCAACCCCCCCCCCCCCCCCCAAAAAAAAAACATATATCTGAATTAGCAGGAGTAACAGGGTGATTCCTCCTGAGTGAAGTCTAAAGATTTTATCCTCAAATCAAGTCTTCAACAATAATCCATAGAACTGATCTGAGCCTGAGCAAGACACAGATTATTTTAAGAGGCATATCTAATGTCGTTAGACCCCGAACACTTGGCACGGAGTCAGAGTTCTCAATTACAGACCAAGGCAGGTGCACGAAGGAGAAGGCAACTCTAAAAATATCCTCCAGGATCTTCGTGCAGACTGGAAGACACTTAGGGTGTCTTCGGTCTTTCTTCAGAGCTCCTTTAAAATGTTAAATGAGTCAAACAATTCTTGTTTTAAAGCAAACTCTGAATCAAGACAACTTATTTGAATAACACACTATTTGTGATCCTTTCATATTTAGTGAATGCAGACATGAGAACTCTCTCTGGGTTGTTTGTGAAGTTGTTAACATTTCATAAATATTGAGCAGATTAAAGACTCGGAGGCTCTAATTGAGGTTGAAGCCCACGCTGTCAGGATGCTGAGCCTCCACAGCATCCTGACAGATCAGATGTCCTCAGTTGGGTTGAGGATGGGATGCCTGAGGCATTATCAGGTAAACAGCTGGCTGTTTTAAAGCCCCCAAAGGGCTGAGAACACAATGACATGGAGTTGTCTTCAGACAAAGGAAATATAATCACACAGGTGGATGCAAAATGATAAAAGGTTGGTACAGGACAACTTTCTGGTTCTTTCCTTTTAAGGGAAATGTTTTTTTAATAACATAAAAACAGACTCTTAAACAAAAATAAATGTTGCAACAAATGAAAGTGAATAAATCAGGTGCATCTTTGCTTAAAACACATCTGAAGATTGTGTTAATCTGGTGAAATCTGCGCTATGAGGCTACATCACCTTTGGGTTCTCCACAGGAACCACGCCCACTTGTCACTCCCCATATAAAGGCGTTTCAAAAGTCAAATGTTCAGGAGCCACAAATCACAGAGCACTTCCTTTAACACGTGCCTCCTCCCAAAAAGTATTGGATGTCCAAAGGAATCCTGTGTCCCCCCTTCTTGAAAGTACATATTTGACAGGACAGTTCCAGGCAGAGCCCTCAGTCCAGCGCAGCCTTCAGTCAGGCACAGACTCTCCTCTCCTCACTCTCCTTTTGGACGTTTAGTTGGTGCTGCCAAACAGCAACAAGCAGCCATGGATGCCATCAAGAAGAAGATGCAGATGCTCAAGCTCGACAAGGAGAATGCCTTGGACAGAGCTGAGCAGGCCGAGTCAGACAAGAAAGCAGCAGAGGACAAAAGCAAACAGGTCGGATGACTTTTTCATTGTCTCTCTTTGAAGGAGTGGTCGTTTAGTTTTAGACGGATTGCCACCCACGTGAATGCGGATTTATCATTTTCGTGGATAATCCCAGTTAAGGATAGTAAAAAAAAAGTTTAAATTGTAGAAATGTCATTATCAGAACATGTGTTTAGAATGCATTCTTTAATATTTGTTATAATTTCTTTGCATGCATGTGTAGTTAGAGGACGAAATAAGAGAATTGGAAAAGAAAATACGCGTTACAGAAGACGAAAGAGATAGACTTTTTGAGGAGTTCCAGACTGCTGAGGAAAAACTGTTGGCTGCTGAGGAGACCGCCACCAAGGTATCTGACCCTGCTGAGCTCTCCTAACTTTTCCCCTCTCTCTGTCCTGTCCTGTCCTGTCTTCTGTCCTGTCCCTTGTGCGTCTTTACGCGCCCGTGTGCGCACACGCAACTCCATCTCTCCGCTGATCACCTCTCTGAAACTGCTCATCACCTGAAAAAAAAACCAATAACAATACCCAGCTTGAAGACGATTTGGTGGCTCTGCAGAAGAAGCTGAAGGGAACAGAGGATGAGCTGGACAAGTACTCTGAGGCTCTTAAAGACGCCCAGGAGAAACTTGAGCTTGCTGAGAAGAAAGCCACCGATGTAAGTAAGAAAGGGAGTTACAGTGGCACCATCCTTTCACCACGCTGTTTCACATCTTCATTCTTTCATTTGTGAAAAAAAACAACGACAGTTCAACACATTTTATCTGTTTTCTCCCAAAAATGCAAGTTTTTGCTGATGTGCGTGCGTTTGGCATCACATAAATCAACTCAAAATATATACATTTATGTTGTTACCCATAACTGTTGAGCTGTCGTTGGATGTTTGGCACACAGTCACATTTGAATTCAGTCCAAAGAAAGAAATAATTACCTGATTATGAATGGAAAAGGCTCTCAAACCTTTAATCTAGGTTCCCCACATGGCTTGTTTCCACTAATAACCTTCTTGTGGAATGCCTGGAAGCTAAATATGCCTTCGCAGGATCATTTTCAGCCTGCAGCCTAACGTGCAGACTTCCCAAGCGCTCCCAGAGTCCGCGCTTAGATAAATATAGCCCACTGCTTTATATGGTCAAGATAGAGCTCACAGCTGCGCTCTTTTGCGCACCGCACAGGAAAAACATACTTTCCACTCAAAACCTCCCAGGCACAATTCTAATTTTAAAAACATCCCCAGATTTTTTTTATTAAAATAAACGTACTTTTGTTACTCTTAAGTTTTTAACCTCAATTAAAAGACAAATATCGGTGATTTGGCCTTTTTAGAGCTGACAAAAACAATACAAGCTCCTGACAAATGCATGACTTCACGACTAAAGTGCCTTTAATCCAATGCCAGAACCAGACTGACGGTCAAGTGTGAGCAGACAGAGACGGCAGGGGTAAATCGGGTTGTAGCGAAGCTCTAAAGGTAAAACAACTTGTAATAATCCTTTAATAGGATTCCGTAAAGGAAGCCAGGCCAAAGACTGTCATAGTGTCGGGGCTTTCAACTTGTTTCTATTGGTGGTGACATTATTTTGGAAATAATTTTTATTCAAGATTATTCAACCTAACATTTACCCCAAAAATTGACTATAAAAATCTAATAAATATTTAGGTTTTTGCCTAGTTTATGTTATTCTACAGAGTGCTAAAAACGTTCACGTTCAAAGCAAATAATCTGCTCCTACCGGATTTAATGAAGACCAGAAAACAAGGAATATTCTCGTAACCCCAAGAGTACCGCTCATGTTTGACCAGCAGAGGGCGCCATCGCTCCTTTTGTTTCCACAGACTTCATCATTTCTAATCAGACTTTATGATTATAATATAAACACATTTACTTTTGCCCAAGTTTGATTTTTGCCTCATTTTATTCCATTTTAGTGCAAATTCTGGTGAATTCTCCATCACAAAAAACACGTTTTAATTGTGCGTGCGGTGAAGTCAGCGGTACTTCCTGGACCAAAAAAAAGCCGTGCGCATCAGAGAGATCACGCTCCGTCAAATCTGACTTGCAGCAACATCACGGACGTCATCGCGCCTTTTCACAGCGTTTTTTTCTTCTTCACTGAAATTGGCAGCCGCTCATAGTTTAGTTCCTCCTTTCTATAGAATAATAGTAAATTATGGCTGGAGTTACATCGCTGGACGCGGTAAAACGAAGGATCAAAACCTTACAAGGGCAGGCAGACGTTGCTGAAGAGAGAGCCGAGAGATTACAGAAGGACCTGCTTGTTCAGAGGAAAGCCAGGGAGCATGTAAGCGCGTTTATCTCACACGCACCTGCAAATCATTTTATTCTCATAAATTGTTTCCTGCGTGAGAGCAGATTAAATAGTTTCAGAAGATTTAAACAACTTTACTTCTTTTGAATAATTTGGAATGACCATATTTACATCATTTTAGAGATTTTGATCTAAATGGTCTATATATAATTGCGTTTGCATCTCTTTAGATGCATCTGCATCAGTAAAATGTGACTTTATTGCAAATGTATTCCAAAAGCAAAAAAAAAAAAAACGTTTTTCTTCGTTTTACTGAAACACCAGGAAGTAAAGAGCTAAACTGTGGCAACGTTTGTTGCAGCAGCCTGCAGCGTCATCTTGTGCTTGTCTACTTGCCCATATATGGATAGCAGGTTCAAGAGAGTGAAACACAGCGGCAGTTTATCGTTTTTGCGCGCAATAGGACCCGCGGCTGTCAGGAGTTTGTAGTTGTGCTTATATAAAGGGAGATGTTTCCTTTTGACACGAGCTGCTGCACCTTGTTCCTGCCCTGACCTCTTTAACAAGAGCTGCAGGGGAAATGGTTGTTTTTAAAGGTTTGTGCGTTTCAAGAACTGCTTTTATACTAGCTGAGTAAACCGCAGAAAGCAGAAGTTGCAGCAACAAAAACACAGATCTGCATGTGTGCCTGGCCCTTTAACCTGAGTCTGGTTAATGCTCTCTCAGAGGGGGGCACTAATTAGACAAAGTCCTGGAAATCATTAATATACTATTCAGTGTGGAGCACATTCACACAAACCTGCTGGGAGGCTTTTCCCCCACAGGTGGCACACAGAAACACTTAGGATCATGCTAATACGCTCCCACCAGGATTAAATGAGGCTGAGGAGCCTCGTTCTAATTGATAAATGAATAAATCCACCACCTGCTTTTCTTTGGGTTGATGTAGGTTTGTAGTAGAGTGATTAGTGTGTCGTAAGCGTAGATTTGTGAAATTGTTTTTTCTCTTTTTTGCCCCTTAGGCTGAGGGTGATGTGGCTTCCCTTAACAGACGTATCCAGCTGGTTGAGGAGGAGTTGGATCGTGCTCAGGAGCGTCTGGCCACAGCTCTGACCAAGCTGGAGGAGGCTGAGAAGGCTGCTGATGAGAGCGAGAGGTGTGGTTCTTATTTTTGGGCTAGACACACCCAGAAACTCTGGCAATGAGAACTTTGTGTCATTTTGAATTTTAAAAGAGGTTGATCAGTAATCTTGAACTTAGGGTCTGCTAACTCAAAAGTCATTCCCACCATCTCTTCTACATGTGGTTTCTATAGAGCCCCACAAGTGTTTTGCATTTTGCAATAAAATAATAAACTGTATTGTTAAATACAAGAAGATTACATGTTCCTGTGCAGAAATATGCGGGGCTGTATTATCAACAGAAACCTTTTTCGGGTTCAAACAATGGGCCACATTTTACTAGCTTTGCTAGCTCATTCACCACCATCCAGTTGAATGTTTCTTGGAAAGAATGCAAAGTTTATTGCATTTCCCAAAATTTCACCGCAGCCCTGTTGTTTCCATTTCCCAGAGGCATGAAGGTCATTGAGAACAGAGCCATGAAGGATGAGGAGAAGATGGAGATCCAGGAGATCCAGCTGAAAGAGGCCAAACACATCGCTGAGGAGGCTGACCGCAAATATGAGGAGGCCAGTTTCGTTTTATTTATTATTATTATTTTTGCCATGTGAGGATTTCTTTGACGTTTGCTGTTGTGCTGCAAACCTTCAGGTGGCTCGTAAACTGGTTATCATTGAGGGTGACCTGGAACGTACAGAGGAGCGTGCCGAGCTCTCAGAAGGGTGAGATGTTTCACCGTAACGCTCACGACAGTCTGCTCTAACACCTGCATGGACGTCGGAATATTTTAAAAAAACAGTTAAATTGCTCATACACAAACTGTAGGTCTCACGTTTGTTTGCACTGTGTTCATATTGTCTGTGCTGATTATTTGCATGCTCACTGTGGTTTGAATGAATGGGTCTGGCTGCCACACCCACTAACAGGCATGCACGAAAAATGGAGGAGGAGCTAAAGGTTTTGGAGCAAATGATGAAATCACTATATTCCTCAGTCACACAGGTACAATAACTCAAAACTCATCTAGATCTCAGTCCTGCTGTCTGCTTTTACATTTGTTTGTGATTGTTTCTTTTCCGACTTTTGCTCTGAGTAGATTTGAGTGTTTAATTCATAACATGGCTGGGGAATGAACAAGAACCACTCACAAGAAAAGCATGATATTCAGATTTTTTTTTTTTTTTGAAAACTCACATTCCTACTCTGTTGGGACACAGTTGTGTGTGTTTTTAATCTCCTACTTGTTTAATCCCCATAGTTCATATTTATTTTTCCTTGTTTTTCCCTCTGATTCGTCCCATCTGTCCTGTTTTGTATCCTCCTGCTTCGGTTTCCTCCCCACTTTGCATCCTTGGCATTTTTACCTCCTCGTTTAAAACACCAGCAAATGCTCTGAGCTTGAGGAAGAGTTGAAAACTGTGACCAACAACCTGAAGTCACTGGAGGCCCAGGCCGAGAAGGTAAGCCTGACGCCCCGGGCCCATGCATGCTGTTATGAAACCATTACAATCGATGTGACCGGGAACGGAGGAGCCCAGAGAGTCAGAAGTCTTTGATTCGTTTACGTCTTTAAAAGCTGCTCATCTACCGTGATTCTGGATTATTTGGCTCGTAATTCTAACCTTTTTTTTGTTTTTGCCCCACAGTACTCACAGAAGGAAGACAAGTATGAGGAGGAGATCAAGGTCCTCACCGACAAGCTGAAGGAGGTACGCTGGTTCTGGGTGTAGATTTGGAGGTTGTGTCAGAGTTCTAGTGTTGGACCAGATCTGTCTCTGTGACACAGGCTGAGACTCGTGCTGAGTTCGCTGAGAGATCAGTAGCCAAGCTTGAGAAGACCATTGATGACTTGGAAGGTAAGACTGTTTCCTTTTTGACACTTTGTGGTTTTAGGGCTGGCGTTTCGGTAAGTCCAGTAGGGAGGAGTGTTGTGGATGTTTACAGGAAGTCGTTGCTAAGGTGGATTTAGGGGTGAAGCTGTTCCGGGTGTAAGAAGCACCCGGTGTCTAAATGTTCCCTCTCTCACTTCACTTGTTTTCAACTTTTCTGTTTTCTTCTCTCTGTCCCTGCAATGGTTTGGATGTTCCTCCTTCCACCTCGTTGCCACGTCTTCCTACTTTGCTCTCCTTCCACCACACCCCCTCTCCCCCCACCTCCTTTACTTCCGGCACCGCCATTAGATGAGTTGTATTCCCAGAAACTGAAGTACAAGGCCATCAGCGAGGAGCTGGACCACGCCCTCAACGACATGACTTCCATGTAATTCTCAACTCTCTGCACCTGCCTGTCCTCCCCCCTTACACTCCTGAACCGCCCCCACCCCCAGCTCCCCCGTCACCACCCATCAGCTGTCTATTTCTGTACCCGTTAGAGATGTTGCATCCATCTGTTTTATATTCTCATGACGGCACACTTTCCTGTCTTAAAATGGAAAATGTGGCTCTTTTTTGTGCAATTTAATTCTGCATGAGATCGTTTTGTGTTGTAATCTGGATACTAAACCCAGTCATGTTTCTGGACACTGTAAACAGGACCTGATGCATGAAGAAGAAGCATGCATGGGTTGTGTTTTATTGTTGTGATCTCATGCATTTTTAAAGACTTGTAAATTCTTTCTGCTACTTTTCCACAAAGTTGATTGAAACTGTATCAATCAGATATTTCAGTGGCTGATCTACTCCCCTACTAATTTGGTCTACTTCTGTTCAGAAGAAAGGCCTCCTGTTCTGTCATGAGAACCCTCTTTATTCTGTTGGTACGCCGGCTGAATGTGCGTTGTCTCATAATTCAGCATCACTGTGGCTCAGCTCCCAGTTTTGCTAAATGAAACATCACCCTTCCACATTTCTGATTCTGTGGAGGCGTTACGGACACCTGTCTGTCACTACGGTCCCCCGAAGGACGAGCCCAGATGCCTAGTTTGGTTTTGCGTGTGTTGGTTCTGCACAATGCTTTTTCACCACTGAAGTGCGCTGGTGTGACGACTGATTCTGTTATGTTGTGGCGGGTGTTGTCGTCTAGGTCCCACGCCGACCCCCCCCCGGTTCACTGTGCTTCTTCTCTTCCACACAGATAAATTGTTTACACCTCGTCAGAGACGCCTCCCACCGCCCGAGCAGAACCCGTCTGCTCTCCCCAGCCTTCTCCCCATCTTCCCTTTCCTCCCTGTCTTTGCTTTTCTTCTCTCCTCATGTTTCCATGTCGGCTGCATCCACTCACTTGTACAGAATCCTAGAGTCTTACTGCGTTGTGTAAAAATAAGAATAAAAGTTCTTCCTTCTATTTTATCTGTATCTCTTTACTCTTTGTAAAGTCATGTTTTCCTCCTTCATCTTGCCAATCCATTAGCTTCATCCTGACACGGTGTGGATGTCTGGATTTCAGTCGTTACGTAGTTTTCCATCATTTGTCGTTCTTTTGAAGCCGGGGTATTAGAAATATCTCTGCAGCGCTGCTAAGAATCAAAACTTGCAGCAACGTCAGGTGTCTGACTGAAAACTGAGCCAAGTATTTATTTGAGACTGGGGGATGCAAGCACTTCTCCACATTGGGTCTTTTGAAAGAGGTCAAGAGGTTTGAGAGAGAGCGTTGGTGAGAATAGCTGCAAAATAAATGTCAGAAAAAGAGAGAGAAATTCAGTGGAATGCAGAACAGCATGTAAAATGTGTGGAGTCTCATTTAGTGCTGGCAGAGTTGGATGGAGATTAAACGGGCTTTGTAACACACATCGTTGTTCTTATATTTGAATAAATGCACAATGACAGCATCTGAGTCTGTTTTATTAAAGTCTTTGCCCTGAATAAAGAAGCAGGACTGACCTGAGACTGTTGGATTTTTTAATTTGTTAAATATAATAACTGTTATTTAGTTAGATGGTAGAGTATTTGGGCACAGCGCAGAGACGTTTTCATTTTTCACATTCAGATTCAGAAAACTTTATTTGTTCCCGAGGAGCAGCACAACAGAATACAAGTTATAAAGGTCGCATCGCATAAATGCTATACAACTTTGATAAGACTACCAAGAGAAATTATAGAGAATTTATTTGAGTTTTGATGATCAAATGTCTCTGTTGTTGTTTTTATAGTTGAAATAATTTCTGCATTTTTTTTTGTTCAATAATCTCACAGCTAATAAGTCCTAATTTTGTCTAAAATTTCAAGCTAATTCCCTATAAAATGCTTTAAATTTATTTAATTAGAATTGCTTAAATGTTTGCCCAAATTAACCAAAAGATCTTTTTTTAAACAAGCGGTGCTCCATAAACATTTAGTGACAACCTGATTAGTTGGAATGAATTCATCAAATGTTTTAGATGTTCCTCTTGGCGGTGCAGAAAATATGAAAACTCATGATAGAAGGGATCATGTGGGGTACTGCTTAGCTCACCGTGATCAGAGAGAGGTTTGCTTTGGAGATACTGGGAGTGGAAATGTGAGTTTATAGATATTTGTCCAACTTGCAAAGTCCAAATTCATGCACACACTTTTTTAAAGGTGAGGCTAAGGATAACAACTCTGAGTGCACCAGTTCACTAATCTAAGGGAACACATTCTTACAACTTCAAATTAATATTTTAACATCTAACCCTGCAGGGCTCTGTATAAACTCTATAAATGTGCAGCTTTTGTTGCAGATCAGCATGGTGACCTGCCATTCTACCAATGTGTTGATCCTTGTTGTGTTTTTCTAGTTAAAAATTAACTGACCTGAGCATTGTGGCCACTTCTAATATGAACTAACCTACTGACTCTCCCATGTCTGCAGGTGTGAGTTAAACTTGTCTTTGTTTGATGTTCTAACAGAGAAACTGTCACATGCTAAAGAAGAAAACCTTGATATGCACCAGATGCTGGACCAGACTCTAATGGAACTGAATAACTTGTGAAAGCACAGCCCTCTGCACACACACACTCACACCAACACACACTGTGGTTTTTTTTTTTTTTTGGCTTTTTGTATTTGCACCTTGCTTACTGTAAACTCTTCTTCATACACCTTGCCAATGGTTGTGAAAATAAATAAATAAAACAGCCAGATGATGATGTAATTGCACAGTCCCTTCAGTGGAACTCAGAGAGCCAAGCTAAGAAGAAGAGAAGCTTAACCATTCCCTTTGATGCAGCATAAATTAAGAGACTTATCTTTTTGCAGGGACAGTTTTTATGTCTTTTATTACAAATGTATTTTTGGCACATCACCTGAATCGTTAGATGTTTTTTTTACATCTGCAATAAAGCTGATTTAGTAAGATCCATTGATTGTGTACATACCAGAGGATAAAGTGGAAATGTTTTGCACTTTGCAAAACTTGTTACCATGCATGATGCAAATGGTTTCTTTTTTTGTTTGTTTTATTAAACCCTCACAAGTGTAAGTATGCACAGGTCACCGTGCCTGTTTGTACGTATACTGGTGCTACTGTTTTGTTAAATCTGTTTTGCATTGCAGTAAATGGAATTTTAAAATCACATCTTCTCTTACAGCATTTCAAACTGGTTGTGCGTTGTTTTAAAGTAAACATTTCAAGTGTTCAGTATATCTAAATTGTACAATTTATGAGTTAAAATAAAAGTACATTTTGAAAGTTTTCTAACTTTGTTTGGTGGTTCATGTTCAGCCATATACGTTTGCTATTCCAAAAGACTTTTGTCTTTATCTGTCTGATAAATGGAAGACTGTTGCAGTTTGGAGCCTGAGGTGTGTAATAATTTAGTTCTTGTTCTGCTTGCTGACCTTCAGCTTGATCTTTAGCTGGGAGCAAAATGGAGTTGTTCACTGCAGCTCATTCGGGACTACTGGAGAACACATGGATCTTAGTGAATGTAGGCTACTTCTTTTAAAACTTTTAATCAAAAAACATTAAAATTTTTATTAAAGTAATGAAACAGCTTCAAATGATTTGAATGTATTAATATGTAATATGTGTAGAATGAGCAACATGTTTGGGTTCTGATGCAAAAGAATTGGTGGAATTCACGTGTGGAACCATCATCAATTTGTAAGGATTAATCTTATTTCTGCTGCATAAAATTTGTATTTTAAGTTGCTTTATGAACTTTTTTTCACCACTTAACAACTTAAACACACCATTTCTGCCTTGTCTCTGTGATTTTCCTACTTCTGGATCTCAGTCTTGAACTCAAGTCTCCTCACGCTTAGAATGCTGTAACTCTCTTTTCACTGGTGGGTCAGAAGGCCTGTGCTCAGCTTCAGACCAAATCAACAAAGTACACTAACATTACTCTGCTTCTCCTCCAGCTTCACTGGCTGCCAGTTAACTTCAGGGTTCATCCTGGTTCTGGTTTTTAGGGCTTTACATGGACAAGCACCATCATACCTTGGTGATCTTCTCAGTCCCTACACCCCCAGCAGATTTGGTCCAGTGATCAAAGCCTACTGGTTGTGCAGCGCACCAGGCTAAAGGCCAAAGGTGACAGATAATTTGCTGCTGTGGTTCCCAGACTCTGGAACTCTCTCCCCCTGAGCCTGAGATCAGTGGACTCAGTGGTCTCCTTTGAAAAACAGCTGAAAATGCACCTGTTCAGGCTTTGGTGTGACCTTCTCTTTATTCTTCCTCACTACCTTATCTTCATGCTGCTGTTTCTACCAAGTGTGTCTTCCTTCATAGTTTTTGTCCAAATGTTTCCTTTTCCCCCCAGTTTTTTTTATTACGACATTGTTCTTAAATAGTTTTTTGTTTGTTTGTTTTTGACTGGCAAATGGCCTGTATTAGTACAGCACCTTCTTGGGGTTCTACAACCCCCGAGGCGCTTCACAGCACAATCCGTCACATTCACATGAACACACTGGTGAGGATGAGCTATGATGTAGCCACAGATTCCCTGGGGCACAGAGGCAAGGCCTGCTGAACACTGGTGCCACCGGTTCTTCCAACCACCACCGACCACCAGGCAAGGCGGGTTAACACTCCCACTGTCCGAATGGGTGAATCTGCGAGGAAAGCTGAACATTGAGCAGGATTGATGGTTTATCCCTTGAGGTCCATGTGGCAGGGGTGAGGAGGTAGCACCACCTCACCCCTGCCACATGGACCTCAAGGGATAAACCATCAATGACACAACAGTGCCTTGTGATTTTTATCTTGATTGGCACTTTAATTCTTCTTCTTCTTCTTCTTCTTCTTCTTCTTCTTCTTCTTCTTCTTCTTCTTCTTCTTCTTCTTCTTCTGATATTCCTTAAAGTCACAGGACTGGTATGGTTTATTTATTTAAATTTATTTTGTTTCACTTATTTATTTAGGAATTTAGTATTTTGGTTGTGTTTAAGACCGGTCGGTCTACACTCAACTCCAGTAGGTGGCGGTAATGCACTTTGAAGTGGCTGCAGAAGAAGAACATGAACAAATCTGACATTCTGCATTCGATTATTTTGGTCTTGTTCGAGGTCCCATACAAGAAGTGATCAAGTTTGTGACAGCAGCAACCATAGCAACTCCTGAAACCGCTTACTAAAGCCACCAAAGCCGACTTTTTCCATTATGTCACGCTTGCTTCTAGCGCATCGATTATGTAGCAGGTGCTTTTTGCGCGGACTTCCGTTTTTGTCTCCGCGTGCCAAGCCGCGGAAGACTGACAGCGTTTTATTGCTGGCACAAAGACGTTGTTTCGTGGAGTTCGCCTTTGGTAAAAACCAGGCGAAAACGCGCATTTGGGTGTGTGGTGTTGGTGTAGGCTTAGTTTTAGCTGTGGGGCTAAAATACAGCCATGACTCTTTCGAAAGTTCATGTGATGATAACGTCAGTAAAGCAGAAAATCCGTACAAAGATGCAATCAAAAGGAGCAGAGATCTGCTGGAGCGGATAAAGGTAGGTGGCGAGGTGAGGTAGCCCTGTAAGAATGCCTGGTGGATTAATAACTCTAAATACCACCTTTAATCAACTTTCCATGTTTCATCAGACTGAGTTTGGAGCTCCTGGTCTGGTAGTCGGAGTTTCTGTGGATGGTGTTCGGGTTTGGTGTGAAGGTTGGTGAGGTGCACAAATACAGACCAAAAATTAAACCACACTCCAGAATAAGCATTAATGCAACGACTAGATGAACAAAGCCTTGGGGGTACAAGCTGGTACACAAATTATGGCGTTTTATTGTTTAACTTGTGCAGGAGCTAAACATGTTATTGTTTGTAGACCAAATGATCAGATTTAATTTAAACATTTAAAAATGCTGGTCTGTGTTGGTTCTATGTTTGTGAGAAATAGACAAGTCTCTTAGTATAAATGCTTGCACATGTAGTTCTACCCTAAATATTATAATAATAATAATAATAGCCTTTATTGTCATTGTACAGGATACAACGAAATTGGAGTGCCACTCCCTTGGTGCACAATAATACTTCTAAATATAAAGGTCCCCTAAAACAAAACAATAGTAAGTACAATATATGCCGAATAGCACACTATATACAGAATAGCAGCTACCATATCATGTAAAAAATGGCATTAGAATAGCAGCGTAATAGTTGACAGTGACCTTGACAGTCGCTAAGCAGTTTTAATTGTTTTTATGCTTATTTACTATAGAGATCGCCCTGGGAAAGAAGCTATCCCTGAATCTGTTTGACCTGGTTTTATGTGACCTGTACCGTTGACCTGATGGTAATAGTTGAAAGACGTGATTGCTGGGGTGAGATTGGTCCTTGATGATATTGCTCGCTCTGCTGAGGTACCGAGATTTTGCAATGACCTCCAGGCTGGACAGAGAGCAGCCAGTGATCTTCTGGGCTGTGTTGATGACCCTCTGCAGTACTTTCCTGTCTGCAGCTGAGCACCCTGCATACCTGCTGTTATGCAGTACGTTATGATGCTTTCTATGGTGGCTCTGTAGAAAGTAACCAGTAGCCTCTCCTCCAGGTTGTTCCTCCTGAGCACTCTCAGAAAGTGGAGACGCTGCTGGGCCTTTTTTTTACCACTGCCGTGGTATTTGCTGTCCAGGAGAGATCCTCAGAGATCTGCACGCCCAGAAACCTCATGGAGTGCACCCTCTCCACACAGTTCCCATGAATGTACAGTGGGGCCGGGTCTGCTCTGCCCTTCCTGAAGTCGAAGATAATTTCTTTAGTTTTCGTGGTGTTCAGTTGGAGGTTATTTACTGAACACCACTCCGTCAGTCTGTTGACCTCATCTCTGTAGTCCGTCTCATCCCCCTTCGAGATGAGTCCGACTCTAAAGTGATCAGAGTGGGAAGGGAAAGAAAACTAGACCACTTAATTAGATATTGTTGCTGAATTTCTTTTAAGAAAAACAGCATTTATTTCTGTTTGTAATTGCAATTAATACAAGTTTAATGTTTTAACAACCACTTTATTTCAAACTCTCATGTTCTATTTATCACCGAAGCATAAACTTCTCATTAGCATTGAAATAATAATTTTGGGGGTGGATTTCAGAAAAAGGAATTCAGGAAGTGGAAAACAGTTTTACAAACAGGAAAATATATTCAATAATGTTTTTGAATGCTAACCAAATTAGCTGTGGCTTTCCAAAGGGTTCAAATGAAGGCAACTGGACTTCTTTGGATGGGAAGCTGTTTCGCTTCCCATCCGAGGAGCTTTGTCAATTCTAACTGGAACATGGGAGAGTCAAGCTTATAAACTGTAGCGGTCTATTTTTATTTAACGAGCCAAAACTACTCTAGGTATCCCGCCTCTCCATCCCCTGATGAGGCATCCAGCTGTGGCTTCACATAAACTAGAAAAATACATTTTTCATTTGCACAATACTCAGTCCTATTTGGATGCAGACCTAATAATAAATCAGTTTACACTGGGTATCAAGCGGGTGTGGTTCTGCATAAAAGTCACAGTTTAAGGTCATTAATGATGTATTAATTTATACTTTTTGTATAATAAATTCAGGGATGGGTTATGCTGATTTGGAGAACCGCATCCCATGTGCTCCGGAAACAGTGATGCGAATTGCCAGCGTGAGTAAGGCGCTCACCTCCGCCGCTGCTGCTCGACTGTGTGAGGCAGGAAAACTCGATCTTGACGTCCCCGTCCAGAAATATGTCCCAGAGTTTCCCCAGAAGCAGTTTGATGGACAAGATGTAAGCCAGCGAATAAAATTGTGAATTAGAATTCTGCTGCTGTGTCAGATTTAATATTTGTTTCTCTTTTTCAGGTCACAATAACTTCTCGTATGATTCTGTCACATCTGAGTGGCATACGGCACTACGAGAAGGATGCAAAGAAAGTCAAGGAGGAAACGGAGAAAGCAAAGCGACTTCTAAAGCCACCGGGTAAAGACGGAGAGAACGCGAGTTCGTCTGAAAAGATGAACGAAGTTTCAACGGATCAGGAATCTAAAAGTAAAGACTCCAGTCAAGCTAGAAGGAAAAGGGAGTTTGAGCACGAGGAATACTACTTGAAGGACAACTTTGAAAACGTCATTCAGTCCTTGGATCTTTTTAAGGATGACCCTCTCATTTTCAAACCTGGTACAGACTTGTTGCATTAAAACACAAAATAAAACACTTGAAGGTTTGCGTATTGATGAGGTGGGTTTATGCTTTGCTACATATAGGCACCACTTTCCTGTACTCTACTCATGCCTTCACTCTGCTGAGCGCCGTCTTGGAGCGGGCTGCTGGTCAGCATTTCCTGGATCTAATGATGAACCTGTTCCGTGAGCTGGGAATGCTCAACACTGTTCCCGATGAGAACGGTCCGATAATTTACCACCGCTGCAGGTGACGTTTTCATTTCTGTGAAGTTTAACACTGTCGGATCTAATAGAAAGTTCATTTTACTCACTGATTCTCCTTCACAGGTTTTATTGCCTTAATAAGAGAGGCCGTGTTGTAAACTCCCCGTACGTGGACAACTCCTACAAATGGGCCGGAGGAGGCTTCCTCTCCACAGCTGGAGACCTGCTGCTCTTTGGGAACGCTCTGCTTTATAGCTACCAGGTGGCCTTCCTCGAGGACACCGAGGGCTTACTCCCGGGTTTCCTTAAACCCAAAACGGCTTTAGATCTATGGGCGCCTGTCGACAAGACTGAGGCCAGCTGGGACAAGGATGGACTTTATGCCCAAGGCTGGTTGGTGGTGGAGAAACTGCAAAGATTTGGCCAATGCAGGAAGCGCAGACACTACGTGTCACACACGGGGGGAGCTGTGGGGGCCAGCAGCGTTCTTCTAGTGTTACCCAGCGAGGAGCTAGACCAACGACGGGGGGTGACCCCTGTCCTCCCACAAGGGGTGGTGGTCTCCATCATCACCAACATGCAGTCTGTAGGGCTGAACCCCACCGCGCTGAAGATTGCACATGAGTTCGACAAAGCTAGAAGTGTGAAGGTTTGCAGCTAATTTATCTAGTTTTTAAAATCTGTGTTGTCACCTAGTCTTGGACCATAACTCTGTCGCGAGTTGTAAATGTGTGCAATTATTAATTTCATAGGACTTTAAAATGACTTTTAGTTCTTTTCTTGAGGAAAATCCAAACTCCTGTAGGAAGAGGGTTTTTTTTCCAGATTTGTATTTTAAAATGTTTTTCAGTCTTAAATTAGGATCAAGAAAAGGTTTTCACTTTGGATTGTGAGCTACTTTCGTTGTTCGCCGCTGCTTCTGTAATATTAGGGGTCCGGTGCTAGGGAGCCTGAACTTTGGCTGATACTTTAGCCTTTTCTGCCCAGGTATGTATTTACTGCATTGATGGCATGTTTGGGATTGTTGTCACACTGAAAAATGAAGTGTGTTGACTTTCAGCTAACACCTTGTGTAATTTGGAATTCCTCAGCCTTTTGTCCTTTTCTAACAATAGTTTCTTGACACCCATTTCTCAGCTGAAATCTTTTCTGACAAGACCGATGTCATAAAGGCAGGATTTTTAATTCTTACCATTTCTTACACGACTATCAGATACTGTTCAGTAAATTATTTGGCTTGACCATTATTTTAGTTTCCAAACGTGTAAGTCCCTCTACATTTTAAAGCTCAAACTGCTCCACGCTTTTACAAATTGTGCATTGTTAGATTTGTGGAGGATGCTGCTTTATTTATTATTTTATTTTTGATATGGTCTGCTTGTAGCAAAGTCACTAAATGTTCAGACGTATGCTGCCATTTTCTAACGGAGTTGTTCAACATGCTGTGCTTTTAGCCTTAAAGTCTGACAATTTCTTTGAAGGAGACTGATGTGTGAAAAAACTTGAATGCTTTATTTAATTTCCTGCGAGTTGTTTTGAAGGAACAAAAACATTTTATATTTACATATGTTTTATTCACACTTAATCCCGTTGTTAAAGGGAGTTCCTGTTTAGTAGAACACCAACACACTCCCCTTGGGTCTGTTTAGAATAACTTCATTCGTGTGTTTGGGTTTCAGGAGGCAGCTGCAGTACAAACCCCATATTCACAGGGAGATGGTAACTTCTGCCACTGTGCAGCCCTTTTATACACAGTTATGCAAAGTTAATGTTTTATAATTGCATCCCCAGGAACCAGGTCTATAAATAGTGTGAACAGAAATCAGCCTCTCGCCACACCCAAACCTGTTTTTTATGAGGCAGATGTCCATGCAAACAAGCATTGTAAATGATAATTATGGGACATGACGTGAATGCTAATGGAGCTGTCACACCTTTCATCTCCAGTTTTTCATCCATCCATTTTCTACCCCTGCTTGTCCATGCAGGGTTGCAGGGGGCTGGTACCTATCTCCAGCAGTCTGTAGGTGAACAGGAGGGGTACGCCCTGGACAGTTTGCCAGTCCATCACAGGGCACCAGGACAGGCCTAACAACTAGGCACACACACAGTTTTAAAGTCATATTTGTGAACTGGGATGATGCTGGAGTGCCTAGAGAGAACCCACACATGCACAGGGAGAACATGCAAACTCCATGCAGAAAGACCCCATGGTTGGTAATCAAACTCAGAACCTTCATGATGTGAGGCTACAGCACTAACCATTGTTCCATTCTGCAGCGCTCCAATGTTTCATCCAAACCTTTTCTCCAACTTACTTTCATTTTCCTGTAAGTGGCTAATTGTTTCTTCACCTGTAGAAGCAACAATGAAAGAAAGTCTTATGCTTGATTTTACAACCTTTTAAATGACTAAGTTGGCTTGTGCAGCTTTACAAATCAGAAAAAATATGGATGTGCAGAATTTACAGTTTTTGTTTCTTGACCTGAAAGACTTTCTTCCACCAGGGGGAAGCAGTTAGTTGACTTGAAATGTTACCTGGGATGAAAGCTTTTTACAAAGCAGCATGTTTTTTTTTTTTTGGGGGGGGGGGGGGGGGGGGGGTTGTTTGTTTTGCATTTTCTGCTTCTGCTAAGCTGGAAATGCAGGAACAGGGGTGAAAATGCATAGCAACATTTTAGAACATAATTGATTACGTGCATAACTCCACAAGTGTTCATTCATAGTTTTGATGCCTCCAGTGAGACTCTACCATTGAGAAGGGTTGTCCAAACTTTTGACCTGTATATATATATATATATATATATATATATATATATATATATATATATATATAGTTTATGTCATAATTTTACATAAATTGACAAAAACTCACTTGTGATGTGCAGTTTATACAAATCAGAAGATGCATATTTTCAACTGTCACTTTTTACTGTAAAATCTTTGGTTTCTGCTCCTGTTGCCATGAAAGTATTTAGGTGGTGTCAGTTGAATTGTGATAATAGTTTAAAGCTTTTTTATGAAGTCTTGCTTTTTTGTTTCGACTGTTTATACAATAATCAGAATTTTTTTTAATTGTAGTCATTTGAGTGAAACTCACACACCATGAATAAAGTTGGAAACAGCCTAGTTTCAGCTGATTGGAAGACGTTTCCTCATTCCTGTCATGTTGATCTGATTTTTCAATCTTCCAAAAACCACAACAGCCTATGGCGCTGTCCTTATGTGAACTAATAAAAAAAAACTAATTTCCTATTTATATCATACTGTTTATGCATGAATGAGTGGAAATCATTGTTATTGTCCAGGTTTGCTCTCTATTTCCCTTTATTATACTGGTTCAAGTGTGATTTTATGGCACCATTAAATTGGTTGAACCTGCACACTTTAATTCTAGTTTCGAGGTTGAAACTACAGTGACAGTTAGGAAAAGAGAGGTCACGGTGACAAGTCCAGACAATTTCAGCAAAGACTGGTGGATGGTGTCAGGTTCAAAATGAATGTGGGAGTAAGAATGAGGCAGGAACTGTGGTTGTAAATGAAATGCTGACGGTTAGAGTCAGCAGAAGCTGTCAGACAGGATTTATGTTTTTAAAAAGTAAGAATGTCACAATCAAATATCAAAGATTCATGCATTAAAATATTCAGCTAAACCAGATGTTCAAAAGGGTGCCATCTGGATCTACGGTTCTCAAACCTTTCAGCTTCAGACCCACAAAACAGCAACCAAGACGTGATCTTTAATTTGAAAACAGGGTTTTCAGGGTTTGAATAATTCAGGACACAAAGAAAAATGCATCAGCTTTTCACATATATCCACTTATAATAGTTTGGTTGAGTTTTTATAACAATTATGCAGTAAATATAGCTTCATATATATTCATTGCTGCTATAAAGTGTATATCTAACTTTAATTGTGACAGAACTATAATAAATTTCATCACTGCTATATAGCCAATAGTTCTGTCACAATTAAAGTGAATTTCCTTTAGATATACACTTTAAATATATTGAAACAAACATTTAGAAATGTAATTTAGCTGCAGTAACTACCTCCATCCTTGCCTTGTAGTCGAAGACCTTTTTGTCCCAACTACATGTTGTTGTTTCATATTGTTTGCTTTTATGCCTTTTAGCTGAAAAACACACAAAATCTCATCAGAGGATTCATCAGCAGTCAGAACTTTGTTGTACGTCCAACATGTTAAACCAGCATGGTATTACCATTGTTTGGTTCTTTTCTAAACACAGAGTGTTGATGAGTTTTTACCCTTTTTAGCTGACAAGTTTCGGCTAACGCTGTATTCATCCGCTGATGCATCGGCGGTGCTCTGACGATGGCTGCAGTGTTAGCCAAAACTTGTCAGGTAAAAAGTTAAAAACACATCAATACTCTGTGTTTTGAAAGGAACCAAACAATGGAATTTGATGGATCGCACCGAATGAACGTACATGATATTATTTTGTATGACATCGAACACAGTTGTAATAGAGAAAAATAAATTTGCATTTATAAGAAATTTTATGCCCAGGGTTTAATTTTCCATTCCTATTGACTCAGATTTGGGTGGCTGAGCTTTGGGTTAGGGTTAGGCAGTAATTTCTTTATTATTTTAGATATTTGAGAGAAATGAACACACTGTGAACAAACATAGGGCTAGCCCACAGATGACCCTTAAATTTTTTGCTGGATGATTTCCTCCTTTGTCCTATCCAAATCTGTGAGTCTGCCTTTATGTGAACTGATGAAAAAAATAAAACTGCCACTTTCAGCTGGACTGTTTATGCATGATTGAGGTCATCATTGAAAGTGTCGAAATAAAAAGCTAACTTTATCCCACCTTTCTATGCTTCCCTCTCTCGTTCTCCCGTTTACACTGGTTTAAGTGTGTTTGATGGCTCCATTGTGTTGTTTAATCTTTTTCGTGTTTTACTATTTTTATATAGAAGGGAAACAGGGACGCTAGTTGCACTTTGGTGTTTAGTTTTGTTTTTTCTATTTTTGCATCTACTCCTATTTTTCCAGCTCCTGCAAAAATTTGAAATTCCAAAATAAAGTTTTTAGAACTGTGGTTGTGAAGGAAATGCTGACCGTTATTGTCATCAGAACGTTGCTTAAAACAAAGTTCACACAATCAATTGAACAAGAAACAGTAATGCGTTTAAACATTCACACAAAGTATTTAATCAAACCAAATACTCACAGTTGTATGTTACATTATAGTTCTTCTGACCCCATAAAAGCGTATGCTTACATTTCCTACAGCTCTAGATAAACATGTTGAAATGTGATTTAACTGCAGTAGCAAGCGCCATCCTTTCTGTATGTTTGTTTTCTATTTTAGTTGCATATTATGACATTTTGTAGCTAAAAATAAAATAAAATAAAAAACAGAAATCATAAATATATTTTGACATTTAGGGCCAAAATAGTAGTTTTTGTTCATTACAGGTTGAATACGGAACAATTTCCTATCATTATTTTTTTATTATTACATCCGCGGGGCATTTAGAGGTGTGCAGAGTGAAGGTACAGTATTTTCTTTAAAAGCAAGAATCTAATATTTATTTTGACGGCCACAACACTGGGTTTATGTTTACATCTACAGGCCAATAGAGGGCACCATTGCGGGTTGCCAAGCAGTTCGAACGGCACAGTGAAGCTGGGACTGTGGAAAATCGTGAATTCTGCAAGCCAGCTGCTTCTGAGCCCAGAAGATGTCATTATCCTTCTCAGAAGAGGAGTAACAATAAAAGATCTAAAACCAGAGTGAGTTTAGGTAAAGCCTATGGACCCAATAAAAAAGTTAACATTTCGGCAGTGAATGACCTTGTTGCATTGTTGCAACTACAACCTCCTCACACTAGATGTCGCTTTAGCGTTCGTGTTCCATTATTCAACCTTTAAGTTTGACAAGTTGTTCAAACAAATTAACGTCAATTTTATTTGATATGAATACTAAAGTATATACACACAATTTGTAAAAACAAATTTAAAAAAGGAAAACAGATTAGCATTTCTGATAAAGTTTATACTCCTGCTTTCCTGTACTCTTGTTGGCTCTGTTGGCTCTGGCCTCTGGATTTTAAAATCCTGTAGAAATAAAACCAACAATAGAAAAATGATGTTTTATTCATTCAAACCCAAATTCTAAAACACCCAGGAGTAAAACATCTGGTGGGTTTATGTACCTGTACACACGGTAGATAAGAAATACCAGCACCACTGAGATGAGGATGGCAAGGAGGATGACGGCTGCTAATAACCCTGTGTTTGTTTCATCCAGAGACTGGTTAAAGAGGTACAGCTGATCACATCTGCTTCCTTTATAACTTTCAGTGCATCTAAGGTGAGAAAGTAGGGATTAAAGCAGGAAATGGGACAACAACAGTAAACTCTGAGGACAAATGAGTGATTTTTTTATAAAACTTACACGCAGGATAGTGAATCCATGGAGGGTATTTTATAACATGTAGCTCCATTCATGCAATAAGTGGCCTCCTGCACGTCACAAGGCTTTCCATGTTCTACAGAGGTAAATCGTTTAAATAAAGTCAGCTGAAATGGGATTACCATTTAAACCATTAATTTTTGATTGATAGTATACCTGCCATCGTTAAAAAGGTCGTCTTCTTGCTGTCTCAGCCTTTCATGTAAAACAAAACTCCCAGGAAGTGATGAGTCACCTCTAAATAAAAAAAATGGGTCAGAGATGTTAAATTCCATTAATGACAACTATTTAGCTATGATGAACCTTGAGAAGATTTATAAACCAGAGTTTAGTTTTATGACAGATGCTTGAATTAAAAAAAGAAACAAACTCGCTCTTACCAGCTGACGAAATCACCTCTTTAGGTGTTTAACACAGGTCGTGAGGAAAAGCTGAGTGACGTTCGGATGTCTGAAGAGTTTTGACTTCTGGGCGGGGTCTTGTGGAAAAGAATGTAGCGATGGCAGTTCATCTGCTTTGAGAATGTCAAGTGAAATACCAAGATGCCTCCCTCAGATAGCTGTCTCTTATTGGTGCTTTGCAGTGTCCTGGTGCGTAAACTCTTCACACATGAGAGGTTTAAATGCTTTGATTCTGATCACTCTTACTACACACGTGGGCTAATGGGGTTTGTTTTCCCCTTTAAAAACTCAAGTCAGACAGGGGACGTGTTGAGAACGACTCTGTTTGGCTTGTGAACGTAACCTTTCTGGGTTTGGTAAGAGACGTGAATGATTGGCACGTTCAAAAGGCATGAATGGAATCGTGAGAACATTTGGTTGTCAGACAAAACATCACATTACTTCCTTTCAGTGTGATAATTACTTTTCTTTGCTCAGAACCGTTAGCTGATTCATCAACAAGCTTCTGTTAATCTTCACGCCTTCAACTGGTGTTAAATTTAGCTTTTAAATAGTTGAAAGCTTCCTCTGTGATTAACTATTGGGATGAGGTCAGCTGTTAATGATAAGGCTGCAGTTATTTTTGGCATGCTGGTTGTAATAAAGACTAAATGTAAGTCTGACACAAACTGGTTTTGGAGAAAAAATGTAGAAGATGTCACAAGTTTAAGACATTCCTTTACTTTCTGTTTTGAGATGGACTAAAATTAAACTGTGAAAGTTTGGGTGTGTACTCTGCACCCTGGAGGGATTTGAGAGAAATATTGTTCTGTAGCACTGAGAGGCACAGTAGTTACAAAAAAGACTAAAATGTTGACACACTAATGTATGAACAGGGGGACCGCACAAAATCACTCTAAAGCCTAATTTATACTTATCTGTCTGTGTAGGGATGGACACACGCAACGTCATTATGTGTCGACGCAAGTGGAGAAAGAACAGTGAAGCTGTTTACAAGAAGGGACACAGCAGACTGCACTTCTTGAGGACGCTTAGGTCCTTCAATGTCTGTAGCAAGATGCTGCAGATCTTCTACAAGTCTGTTGTTGAGAGTGTAATCTCTTCAGCCATTGTCTGTTGGGGTAGCAGCATCAGAAACAGGGACCTGAAAAGGCTCAACAGCCTAATAAAAAAGGCTGGTTCTGTTCTGGGGACGACTGTGGAACCACTGGAGGAGATAATGCAAAGAAGGATTCTCCAGAGAATCAAGAAAATGATGGACAACCCTGAGCATTCTCTTCACAAGACTGTCCAACAACAGAACAGTGTCTTCAGTCAGAGGCTTCTTAAGTTTCGCTGCAACACTGACCGCTACTGGAGATCCTTCCTGCCAACAGCCATTGTAATATACAATAACTCTTTGATGACTTGATTATTATTATTATCCTGAGCTACTACAGCAATCAATTTCCCTCTAGGATTAATAAAGTATTTTTGAATCGAATTGAATTTGAAGAGCCCTTGGCGGGCTTGCAGAAGGAAACGGAGACATGCCCCAAATTTTAGTTATCCGTTTGTGGCAAGGTGGAGATACGAGGGCCCGGGCAGGATTTGATCCCCAGACTCCCAGGTGAGAGTCATACGCTCTAACCAGTCAGCCAAAGGGACAGCCCCTTGGCCAAGTAGCCAGGGCGCATGATCAATCAGGACACTGTGACAGGACACTCACACTGTCACACGTTGAAAGAGACGGAGACGGCAAGCTTGTGATTGGTCGGGACGCTGCTTCCTGTCTTCATTCGTCAACAGCATTGCCTGTTCAAAAAATAAAGAGATATTTAGCGGCAGACACAGAACAGATTGAAGAACGCCTTGTGGAAAAAGTCTGAAAATATAAACGTTTATTCACCCGTGACTGAAAGAGTGCATAGAAATGCAAGTTTGGAAGAGTTTTGTTCGTGGACAGAAAAGATGAGAAACGTGAGGTTAGAGATGCTGATCGCATGAAGAGGTGAGGGGGAATGAGGGACAAATTTGTCCGTGTTAAAAAGTCTCTGAAATACATCAAAACAATGTAAACACAATAGCAAATACACCATTGTGGACCGGACACATCAGTGTTATGGTGGCAGGATACCTCAGACACTCCCCAGCTGACAGAAAAATCTGAAAGCAAAACGTGTCTGTCAATGTTTGTGTGTGTCTCTCCCTTGTGGAGCTGACGGAGAAGTATAAATTAGGCTTTAGGACCTCAAAAGGCCTCCAGGGCACATTTTGGACATACTGGTTTTAGACTGTTCAAAGTTAGTGGGACACCACATACAGGCAGTTAAATGTTTTGTGAAAAGATCTCCATAAAAATCATAATATTTCAAGTTTAAAGAGGACCTAGAATGCAGTAATCAGCAATCTGAAACAGTGCTTTGGCTTTCATCAGTTCCAGAAACCCTGATACCTCAGTGGTGTCAAACTCAAATTCACACTGGGCCAAAATGAAAAACTAGAATGAAGTCGTCTCGTCTCGTCTCGTCTTCCTCCGCTTATCCGGGTCCGGGTCGCGGGGGCAGCATCCCAACTAGGGAGCTCCAGGCCGTCCTCTCCCTGGCCTTGTCCACCAGCTCCTCCGGCAGGACCCCAAGGCGTTCCCGGACCAGATTGGAGATGTAACCTCTCCAACGTGTCCTGGGTCGACCCGGGGGCCTTCTGCCGGCAGGACATGCCCGAAACACCTCCCCAGGGAGGCGTCCAGGAGGCATCCTGACTAGATGCCCAAACCACCTCAACTGGCTTCTTTCGATCCGGAGGAGCAGCGGTTCTACTCCGAGTCCCTCCCGAATGTCCGAGCTCCTCACCCTATCTCTAAGGCTGAGCCCGGCCACCCTACGGAGGAAACTCATTTCGGCCGCTTGTATCCGCGATCTCGTTCTTTCGGTCATTACCCAAAGCTCATGACCATAGGTGAGGATTGGGACGTAGATCGACCGGTAAATCGAGAGCCTGGCTTTCTGGCTCAGCTCCCTCTTCCCCACGACAGATCAGCTCAGCGTCCGCATCACTGCAGACGCCGAACCAATCCGCCTGTCGATCTCCCGATCCCTCCTACCCTCACTCGTGAACAAGACCCCGAGATACTTAAACTCCTCCACTTGAGGTAGGACCTCTCCCCCGACCCGGAGGTGGCAAGCCACCCTTTTCCGGTCGAGAACCATGGTCTCAGATTTGGAGGTGCTGATCCTCATCCCAGCCGCTTCACATTCGGCCGCGAACCTACCCAGCAAGACCTGAAGGTCAGAGCTGGATGAAGCTAGGAGGACCACATCATCCGCAAAAAGCAGAGACGAGATTCTCCTGCCACCAAACTCGACACACTCCATACCACGGCTGCGTCTAGAAATTCTGTCCATAAAAGTGATGAACAGAACCGGTGACAAAGGGCAGCCCTGGCGGAGTCCAACCCTCACTGGGAACAGGTCCGACTTACTACCGGCTATGCGGACCAAACTCACGCTCCTCTGGTAAAGGGACTGAATGGCCCTTAACAGAAAGCCACCCACCCCATACTCCTGGAGCGTCCCCCACAGGATGCCCCTGGGGACACGGTCATAAGCCTTCTCCAAATCCACAAAGCACATGTGGATTGGTTGGGCAAACTCCCATGCCCCCTCCATCACCCTTGCAAGGGTATAGAGCTGGTCCACAGTTCCACGGCCAGGACGAAAAAAACATTGCTCCTCCTCTATCTGAGATTCAACTATCGATCGGACCCTCCTCTCCAGTACCTTGGAGTAGACCTTTCCAGGGAGGCTGAGGAGTGTGATCCCCCTATAGTTGGAACACACCCTCAGGTCACCCTTCTTAAAGATGGGGACCACCACCCCGGTCTGCCACTCCCTAGGAACTGCCCCCGATGACCACGCAATGTTGTAGAGACGTGTCAACCATGACAGCCCTACAACATCCATAGCCTTAAGATACCCAGGACGAACCTCATCCGCCCCCGGGGCTCCGCCGCTGTGTAGTTGTTTGACTACCTCAGCAACTTCTGCCCCCGAGATAGGACAGTCCATCCCCAGGCCTTCCAGCTCTGGTTCCTCCTCGGAATGCGCATTGGTGGGATTGAGGAGCTCCTCAAAGTATTCCTTCCACCGTCCGACTATAGCCTCAGTTGACGTCAGCAGCTCCCCATCCCCACTGTAAACAGTGTGAGCGAGTTGCTGCCTTCCTCTCCTGAGGCGCCGGACAGTTTGCCAGAACCTCTTTGGAGCCGATCGATAGTCTTTCTCCATGGCCTCACCAAACTCCTCCCACGCCCGAGATTTTGCCTCGGCAACTGCCACTGCTGCACCCCGCTTGGCTATCCGGTACCTGTCTGCTGCCTCCGGAGACCCACAGACCAGCCACGCCCTGTAGGCCTCCTTCTTCAGCCTGACAGCTCCCCGAACCTCTGGTGTCCACCAGCGGGTACGGGGGTTGCCACCACGACTGGCACCGGCCACCTTACGACCACAGCTATCAACAGCCGCCTCGACAATCGCAGAGTGGAACAAGGCCCACTCGGACTCAATGTCCCCCACTGCTCTCGGGACGTGGTCAAAGCTCTGCCGGAGGTGGAAGTTGAAGACCGTCTTGACAGGTTCTTCTGCCAGGCGTTCCCAGCAGACCCTCACTATGCGTTTGGGTCTGCCAGGTTTACGCGGCATGTTCCCCTGCCATCTGATCCAACTCACCACCAGGTGGTGATCAGTTGACAGCTCCGCCCCTCTCTTCACTCGGGTGTCCAAAACATACGGCCGCAGGTCAGATGATACGACTACAAAATCTATCATCGACCTGTGACCTAGGCTGCCCTGGTACCAAGTGTACCGGTGGGCATCCTTATGTTCGAACATGGTGTTCGTTATGGCCAAACTGCGGCTTGCACAGAAGTCCAATAACAAAACACCGCTCGAGTTCAGATTATGTGGGCCGTTCCTCCCAATCACACCCCTCCAGGTCAAGCTGTCATTGCCCACGTGAGCATTGAAGTCCCCCAGCAGGACAATAGAGTCCCCTGATGGAGCACTATCTAGCAC